AACAGATAAACAAAAACTGATAACAACTTAACAATGCAGTGCAATTGTTAAAAATCCAAGCTTAATATAAAATTTAAACTTTTTAAAAAACTGCTAATTCTAATCTTTATATTAATGTATCTTCTCTATGATAATTACTACAAAAGACTGTAAAAGTATTTCTTTTTTTCAATTTTCAGTTTAAGGTAGTTTTAATAAAAATTGGTTGATGGCAAATCCCTTCACAAGGGATCATTCAAATTCTCTGCTCTACCATATTAGAGCTGGAGACACATTTTTTTTTTTTTTTTTTTTTTTTTAACTATCAGCAACTACATAGCTCTTGAAAACAGAAACTACATGTTGTCCATTTCTATCTGAGCAATTTTTTCCAGATTACTTAATAACGTGTACTGAAACTGGAGTTTTCAGTATTCCTTTACAATTTTTAAACTGACATTTGTATGTTGCTTTATTTACAAAACACTTTCAAGTATATTACCTAATACATGTAACAACATATGTATTTAACGGAAAAGGAAACTGATATTCAGAAACAGTATGAGAATTAATCATGAGGGTACTTCAAAAGTTTGTGGAAAAATGGAATGGAAGGATAATATTAATCTTTCCATGAACTTTTTGGAGATCCTTTGTAAGGTCATTCACCTTATAAAAGACATAGCTACGTTTTAAAACTAGATATGTTCAATCACAAAGTCTATGCTTTTCCCCAATATGTTCTTTAACCACGAACATTTACTGAATGCCCACTATGTGCCAAGCACAGTGCTAGAAACTTTGAAATATTGTTTTATCTAATCCTCATGAAAATTACTATGTAAGTTTGTACTATGCCTGATAGTTTTCAAAGTCTAGCAGTCAAGACTTTATTTACTCCGATGTTCCTGCCAACATGGCTCACATTAAATGTCTATAAATAATCTCATTTCAACTCAAGTTTGAGTATCCTTTCCTTAGTAACCAGACTTCCAATTAAAATGAGGTCAACTACAATGATGTTCCTGCCAACATGGCTCACATTAAATGTCTATAAATAATCTCATTTCAGCTCAAGTTTGAGTATCCTTTCCTTAGTAACCAGACTTCCAATTAAAATGAGGTCAACTACAAAATCAAAAAAGTTAGTCTAGGAAATACACTATTCAAAGAAGGCAAAAATGCTCCCAGTTTAAACAATTTCTGAATTTTTTCATGAAGGTAGACAGTTCAAACTGCCAAAATTTTCACATGTAACTAATATTTACTAATAACTAAGACAGATAATTGGCAGGACAAAACATTTATTTGGAGTTCCTAGGTGCCTGCCTAATTTTATAATACAATAGGAAAGGAATTATCCAAGATTTGTCTTTGACTAGCAATGGTCATTTGAGCAAAGGCTTCAGTCTTTCTCTATTTAGTGTCATCCATTTGTAAAAAACAAAACTAAACAAACAAAAAGAAAAACAAACAAACAAAAAACCCCTGTATTTTGTCTCCTGCTTCTGTGTGTGTAAACATGCAGACATGCAAAAAGGGACAGATGGGTGTGCAGAATTTGAGATACAAGTAAATTGTTCAGTGAGAATAAAGAATAATACCAGCACAATTAAAATTCTAAAGCACATAAATTCTGATTGTTTAAAATTTTCCTTTTCCATTTTCTAAAACCTCTAATTTACTACCTCCATCTCTTCCACCAGGAATTTCTCCATGTTTTCTCACCTGTTTCACAGCAGAAGGACTGTATGATTTTCCAGGATCTCTTTCACCCAGGACACTCCTGGATTGTACTCACCAATGATAGCCTGCTCTGGAGAGGTGGGAGGGGTGAGAGGCATCCCACAGTTACTTGGGTCCTTCACACTACCAAGCCCCTGCTGCCCAACTGTAATATGGCCTCCAGCACTGGCAGCACTCTGAGGAACTGGGATGTCATTTTGAGAGATCAAAACAAAAGCCGAAGGGTAAACCATCCGAACACCACCTGTAAAGAAAGAGGAAAAAGAGAACCAGGCCTGAGAAAGAGTTCATATAATACTACTAAATTTATTATTCTAGTGGTCAGAGTCAAAGCTCAACAATGAAAAAGAAAAGCTCATGAAGTATTGCCAAAAGTGAAATGTTTCATTCTTTCATAAGTTAATATCTGTTTAAATGTATGCTACAATATGATGATAATAGCATTTAGAATACAGGGACCATTGGTACTTCAGGCAAGATAACTACTCAGCATATACCACTGTGTCAAGAGAAAAAAAAAATGAGAAAATTATGGAGACGGTTTCTGATGAATTTGACTGATCATCTTTTTAAATTAAGGAAGATGAAGAAGGTAGAATAAAGTTCTTCATGCAAAATATTTTCTCTTACCAACAATCACTTCGACTGCCACGGGGAAATCATCATCGTATCCCAACTCCTCTTCCTCTTTCAGTTCCTCTTTCTTTTTTAGCACCATCGGGTAGAAATACTGCCATTCCTCAATCAACTTACGGGTGGCCGGGTCTGACATCTTGTATGCTTGGCCTGTTAGCGTGCCATTTAAGCCATAAGGACTTACCAGTACTACGAAGGGGAAGAGAAACATGTGCTACCCATTAGAGAAACAATTCCTACTGAAGTGCAACACTGTATGTGTAGTAATTTTAAGTTAAAGCACAGCACCATTTAATGTATATTGCTCTTCCTAACTCCTTTTAAAGTATGATTTTAAGTTTCTTATTTTAGTATTTCTTATTTATATGCCTCTAAACACATCATTTTTTGAAGGAAATCAAATAGCTACAGTATTATACTGTCAGACAACTGTATCAACACACAATACATATAAACTATCTGCATATTAAAGCATATATATATATATATGTTTAGTAATAGCTCATACAATGCGAACACTGAGTCTTCACTTCCATAACAGAACAGAAAAAAATCATTCCATACATACACCCCCAAACCAGCCAGAACTTGAACACTCCTCTTACGGTTCCTGAGACTTCCTAAATATCTGTGGTAATCAAAGAATAATATATGAATAAAACTCCTAATAACAAAAAAGTCTTAATGTACAAAGTTTTACGCATACTGCTTAGTTATAATTTCAGTTATGATTGTTTTGGAGGTCTGTTGATGAAACAACTAAAATTAACTTAAAGTAAAGGACTCAAAGTCCTTCTTGCTTCTTAATATAATTTTCACTGATTTAGACACAAAGTTTAGTTAACATGGTACTGTAAATAACCCAGCCAGTTCTTAGCCTCATGGTATTTCAGCCTTCCAAACAATACTTTTCTGAGGATAAAGGTCACTTTTCTTAATCCTAATATTAAAAAAAACACAACAGGACAATCTTTAAATGGAATATCCGTTTTTGTTGATTTTTTTTTTTAAATAGCTGGGTGATATGTCAGTCACATCAATCAAGAGAGATAAAACGTAGACATCACATATTTCTTGAAGTCTTCCCGCTGTTCCTCAATGATCCAAATGTGATAAAAATACTCTGACCAACACAGTTAATCAAGAGCAATCTTTTTGCATTAACACTTTTAGGAAATTCCCACATCAGTTTGGATAATTATGTTCACCATAATTATCTATAGGGCAGCACCTGCCCTAAGTAGCTGCCTCCTCCACATCAACCATGGGAAATAAGCAGGATAATATCCCACAAAAATCTTCTATGACTTGAGGCATTAGTAACAAAAACTAATAAGATTTAAAAATAAGTACACTACAGGGACGTAGTATTCCTAATATTAACTTTCCCAACTTTTAAGGTTAGAAAGTTAGTTCTTTCCCCTCATGACTAGGGATACCTTCCGTTATTACTATAAATAGATGCTTTTGAGTCATAAAATCTAGGATAAAGTCAGATGGTCTTCAGCATTTTTACACTCAAGGAAACACAGTAGTTAAATAATTCTGACAATCCATAATATGTACATACTGTACAACTTGTAAGTGTACAGTTTGAGAACTGAGTTGTTCTGAATTTTATGGTGATTTATACATAAAACACGCAAATTTACAGAACAATAAAGTACTTAGCTTAAAATGTGTTGCGAGAGAGGACGTGATGGGGGCTGGGAGTCTAGATAGCAATTAGGACACAGTTAAATGAGGATTCAAAGGTTTTTTTACTTAAAAGAAAAAAAAGAGGTTTAACTATCTTCAGGGCAACAAACAGATGCTTCCACCAAATTAAATCAGAATAGTTTGTAGAAAACCAAAAAAATAATCATAAATAAAATGGAGGCCAAACACTCATATGACAGGCTGTTACAGCAATTAAAATATTTTAGTCAAGTCTGTTAAAATATCAGTGTTTTTTAAAATTATATTCTGTGTGGTATACTAAGATATTTCAACCAGACATCTCTAGTAATATGATATATTAAACTGAACCAAAAGGTTTTTTTCTGTACGGTTCAACCTAATATTATAACACTTAAAAACTGTTATTCATAGTAAATTTGGAATTCCAAAGGACATGAAATTATTTTGGTGATATCTGGGTGGTAAACCTGACAATTAATGAAAATATGAATGTGCTACATTAAATTACAACTAAATACCTATTACCAACTTGGTCTATAATTAAAAGACAATAATAAAGATATTAATATCACTGAAGAAATTCTAGAAATTTCATTTTGGTTGAAACTGCAAATACTAAGTTTAATAGTAATCTTCTGTAAGAAATTACATTCCTGAAACCTTGTTAATAAACAAATCTATGAAAACCTTTAATTTATTAGATTGGTCAATTACTCATTGGATTAAATTTTTCAAATATCTATCAGTCTTCTTTTGTTCTGAAATTGTCTATATTTTATTCTTCAATAAAACTTCACATAAGACCATGTTATATGTTATATATGTGATAAGCTTCAGCAAAAAGCTATTACTACTTAATTGTGGAACGGTAGTCTTTCCTTTCTTCTTCAAATATTGATACTTATGCTTAGCTTTATTATGTCCATTTAAGATAATGCCTCATCCTGGATATAACCTTACTGGGCAAGGTGGCTATCCAGTTGGTGATGGTGGTGGATGGGTGGAGATCAGGAAGATCACCATTTGCTTACCTTGAAAAGGTGCAGGTGACGACTGAGCCATGTGTATATGCTCCTCATTGATCAAATAAATTGGCTGATGTTGGGCAATCTCCACACTTGTACATACATTACTTTCTCCATGAAGAAAGAATGTGAATGCACAGGACAAATGCTCACTAAAAGAGAAAGAATGAGAAACTCAATTTTACATTTTAGTTTCTAGCACTCATTTAGGAAACAAGGAAGTATAGATGAGATACAGCTCTACTTTATCAATCATCTAGCAAAGCTAACCTCTGATTATGAACAAAACATAAACTTCTAATTGATTATGGACAAATGATATAACAATAACTTGTTGACAAACTAAATTAAAGCTGTCAGATAAATCTGAAGAATCAGACATACTGCATTCTGAACTTTGGAAAGTTATTCTGCAGAATGCTCTCTGTTTCATTTGCAGAAAATCTAACTCCTATACCAACTAGAAACTCCTAAGGACAGAGAAAGAACCATAATGTTTTTCTACATGGCTAGACACTTAAAAACAAATTAAGTCCAATAAATGAGGAAACATTTAAAAGGCTTATAAAAAACATGACTTATGAACAAGATCAAAAGGCAACCCGAGCTGATTCTGAATTGGCTTTTAACTGATTCTAGAGACAATGACAAAATAGTTTTCTTTATGTTTGGTATAATATAACAATAACATCAAATTTATAAGCTTACAACATTACAATCAGGTTAAAACTGTCGATCTAAAAATAGCAATTAAGGACTACCTGGTGTATATAAATTCTCAATATACAACTGTTAAGGTAATACAAATCTCTAAATGGGCTGGTAATCTATTATATTTAATTCTTACAATTTATATCTGATCACAAATTTTATCAAAGCATTCCGCTTCACCGTTACCCACACAAGTAACTAAAAATTGATAAAAAAGAAAATAAAGTGTCATGGAGAAAAACAATTTCAAAATTACCACAGTGGCACATTCTTTCAAAGTTGTTAACTTTGGCCCTAAGCCAACTATAACATATCTCCATTTCTCAAAACAGCTCATAAGAACAATTGTCTGACGAATCTAAATCACTTTACTAAACCATGATTTAAAAAAATCATCTCCAAGAAGTTGCTTCTTTTAAGCCAACTATAACATATCTCCATTTCTCAAAACAGCTCATAAGAACAATTGTCTGATGAATCTAAATCACTTTACTAAACCATGATTTAAAAAAATCATCTCCAAGAAGTTGCTTCTTTTCAAAAGTTCTCTAAAATATTATAAAGTGTATTGTGAGTACTACAAAAAAAAATTTTGTGTCAATTATAAAATTATAATGGTTTAAGGAAAAATTAAAATAGAAATGTTGTTCTATCACACAGTGAAAAACATATATTCTTCTTTGACAAGTATGTTGAGATAACCTAACATTTTCTGTTTTACCAGAATGTGAAGTTTCATCAATAAGAAACACCTGGTCTTTCTATTTGAGTATTTCGCAAAACAGAATAAATGTGACTAAAATTCTACAAGAATTTTGAAAAGTTTAAAAAAAAAAAACCTTTAAACAGTACGGCTTTCCTTTTTACAAAAAGAAAAAAATGCACATAATTTAAACATATACAACCATAAAACATTATCAATAGGAAAAACATGCTGTTCTTTATGAAAATATCATTAGAAACACATCATCCCCAACACACAACATTATGTCTGGCACACAATAGGACCAAAATATAGGTTTACTGATTGTGGACTGGCAAAGTTTTCAGCTGTAAATTTCAGCTAAGGGGTTTGAGCTAACTCATTCCTATTCATGCCCACTAGTTCATGTGGCTGGCAGGAGTTACAGATGTAGCCACAGAATATGTTCTCTATTCCACTGATGCTCCACTATGCATAAAATCAAATGCAACCAACATTTATCTATCAACTAGTAAGTGCAAAGAATGGTGCAAGAAGCCTGAAGTGACACTGAACAAAACATGGTCCTTGCCCTCAAGGAGTTTATATGCTAGCAAGAGAATGACAAGAAAGCACATGAATAAATAAAGCCAGGCACAAACACAGAAATAGCAATAAAAACAAAATGCCATAAAGCAAGGCTAAGGTGTCGTGATTCTTTCCATTTGTAATACACAAATGCTTCTAGAAGACAAGAATAAATGAAAATACGCTATCAGTGGTAGAAAGAAAAAAAGAAAGAGAGAGAGCACGAAGGAGCAGATGTGTTTAAAGAGCAGGAAGCAGTCTGGAAATGCTAAACAGAGGAACAACCTGATGTGACTGGAAAGAAGTCTGAAAAAGAAGTCCGAGGCTACTCCTTGAGACAATAAAAAGACTTCTATTTGCAAAATAACAGGTAGCCAATTTAAGGTTTGGTTTATGAAAGTCAGCTGAATCTAAAGAATCATTATGAAAATTTCAAAATAATATTCATTTGAATTTGCTATGTCCCAAAAAACAAAGAGTTGAGGGCCGGCCCGGTGGCGCACTGGAGAGTGCGCTGCTTGGGAGCACGGCGGCACTCCCGCCGAAGGTTCAGATCCCATGTGG